ATATTATTAAAATATGATCTAATATTTAAAATCGAGAACTACCCTCGAAATATGTTATGGAATTTAATTCCCAGGTCTCACTATTCTTAAGCAATTTATCCAGCAACACGAGTTGTACAACAGCGGACAGCGCCGAAAACACGTGAGAAAAAAGAGGTACATTAGAGATCGGTGGGACGCGAAGCGAAGGGTTGCCAGAGCGGGGCTTTTTACCCGCGATTTACATGATACGTCTCGTCTCTCGGAGGATCGACTCGACATCAAAGTTGGAAGGCCGAGCGTCGTTTGCGGCGGCCGCGGCCTAGCCTGGAGGTGGAATGGCGCGCAGGTAGAACGCAAGAAAGGTCGGTCGGCCCCTCAGATGCTCGCAATTAATAAGAGCTTAATGGGGGCCGATATAGCGTTGCCACGCTCGCCGGTACCCGTCCGTTTCTTGGCCGTCTCTCCCACCGAAATCATCGATGCCGACGACAAAAAGCCACGCCACGGCCGTAAAACATTTCGCTTCTACTATGTTTCGTTGAGACCTGATGCCTACGCTACGTCGACGCAAAAAGGGCCGCCCTCTTCTTTCCTGATTCTCGCGGTCGAATTGTGCAAGAGAAGAAAGTTTGTAACGCAGCGCGGAGATTAGAAGAGGCGACAGACACGAAGGAAAAATTTCGGACCAATAATTTCTGGATGAAGTAGGAAGAATAACGAAGCATTCTTTAAAGAATTATGACATGTAAATTCTTGACAATTTTTGCTCTGATTTACCAGAATAATTTGGTTATCACATAAATGGACTGTACATACAAATATAAAATCGAACTGTATGAAGTCATATTTTGCACTATTTTTGCGTGACACAACCAAAAATTTCCTACTATCTCTTCACTTTCTAATTTCATATGAAATTATAAAAGACAGTAAGTAGAAATTGGAACATTTATCATACCATAGGTCACGAATTCATTTGGAATCATCAATGAATGATTTAAAACTTGCCTAATCAGTCTGAAGAGCCCATACGAAGGCATCATACAATGTTACGTATTTTGATCATTGACTGTTTTCATCTTCTGAAGACCGAAGGTCTTCCCGAAGGCCATTTCCTTCAGAGAAAGTCGAGGCTCGAAGGGGTTGGAAATAAGATTCGCGAATGTACTCACCAGAGAGGGGTGCGTAGGGGCCGTGCGGGTACGGGGGTGCGGTGGAAGCGTCGACGAGCGACTGCGACGGCGTTGCCGAGGGCCAGTCCTTGTAGGAGGCCGCGGGGTGCGCGTGGTGCGCCGCATGAGGGCCGAGACCTCGCGCAGCGCCTAAGAGCAGACCGCCGTAACTCGTCACCGCCGCCATGTTCGGATGTTGATAGTCGTGCACCCTGTAAAACAGATCGTGGAAATCGTATTCGACGTCTATCGTCACGGAAACTTATTGCCCTGTAGCGATTTACTGGGTGCAAAGGGATGGCGGCTGGTACGAGACAGAACGGGGGTGAACGCGTGAAAGGAGATAAAAAAAGAGTCATGGAAATGAGAAGGGGAGAAAGAAAAAGGGGAGAGGATCAAAGAGAGAGAAAGAGAGAGAAAAAGAGAGAGGACACTCCGATATCGTGCCTCTTCTCAAGAACGGTGACAGACTGGTAATTTATACGGCAACCGACGCGAGATCAGCGCTAAAGATCTCCCGAGCGGAGGTACCTGCTCCCGACGGTTTTCTGTATTTTTCACGTCTCGTTTTCTCTTTGCCGCCACTCTCTCTCCGTCTCTCTCTCTCCGTTTCTCCTTCTCATCATTGCTTTCGCTCCGCTCTGGTTCTACCCTCCTCGCTTTAAGATTGTACGAACCCTTAAATGAAAACAATGACGAAACACTGAAACTTCGACAATTATATTAGCTACTACATTAATAAGACACTGTAGAAAATTTTTTCTAAAAGTTAATCGCTTCAAATATCAGATATAACTTTTTGTCACATTTCTTAAGAGATCCTACGGCTCATACAATCTTAACAGCATTTCTCTATTTCTCGTGATTTTTCTCTCATATTTTTATTCTATTCTTTCTCTTGCCACGTCTTGTACACGCCACGATATTCGTGTCGCGCCTGCTGGAGGTGGACTTTTAGAATGCGTGAAGAATCAGTTGCATTATCGGTCGTTAATCGAATCCCCAATCCCAAATTTTGCTGATTTATCTCATGCGATGCGACTCACTCGTGAGGCGTGTGCTCAATCGAATTTGAAACGGAGCACGCCACATGGCGAAGCGATTCGATCAAATACTCCACTGGGATTCGTCTAATTATGCACCGTGTTAATGAGAATTAACGTGCAGAACGGAACAGAAAATATTATAAATATATTGCGGATTTTATACGAAAACTGAATATGCAAAAAATATAAACACTGTTATGTATAAAAATATAAAAAATATCAAAAGCAGAATGTATATTGAAATATTTAAATGTCAAGAAAAATTGTTTTAAACTGCTACCATAAATACTTTATTTTACATAAAAATCCGCAATCTAATGGCAAATTATGATTATAAGTTATGAATAGACCGCGCATGTTTATGCAAAGTAAAACATTAAAAAATGTGTTCTAAAGACTGAAATATGAGTACAGCTTTTGATATCCTGAATAATTTCATGCATTAAACACAGCATTTATAGTTCCTGTACAATCAATTTCCTTATAAATTGCATAAAACCTAGAGACTGATTATGAGATATCGGATACTTTCAAGCTGACAGGTAATACGTGAATAAAATGTTAACCAACGTAGGCACTGATCTAAGAAATTTTTTGAAATCGCGATTGGTAAAAGACGTATAAGATTTACGACTATTAAGGAATGCGAAGGAACTACTAATTAATTCGAGCGCGAGTACCTCGAAAATAACCGAGGAAATAGGATTAGGACAAATTTTCTTAAGTATAAAACGAAGAATGTTTGGAACGCTAACCTGTGGTGATACTGTGAATAATGCGAATGCCATGGATCCGTTGGATACTCGTACACCTCGCCGGGATGCTTCCAGAACGAAGGGGGGAAGTTCCTCATGGACATAGGAGAGATGTTCTCTGCAAAAAGATAAAGTTTCCTCAGTACCGATACATCCTTTACGTCGAATCGATGAATATTTAAATATTCAGCATGTTTCAAACAATAACACATATTTCCATGGCTTAGATAAAAAGTGACTGATCAAAAGACTTTTAAACTGAAAATACATCCCCTGAATATTATGACACACATTACTTTATCTGACATTCTATAATCTGGAATATACGCTTATCTCCTATCACTATAAATTAGAGGATACCTGAAGTGTTCCAGTATTTGCATTTTAAATTAGCAAGTCATGAAATGAAATCGATAGTTAGTTTACACTAATACATTGAGGCAACTTTTTCTACGAAATACGAATCGCAGTATTAACGGAAGAACAGGACGTAGTGAAAGGGGAATAAAAATAACGGTGAATATCGCTGAGCCAGTCGTAATCGATTCACGATCGATTATATTTATCTGCAGCCTTGATAGATCGGGTTATTTTTTATTCGAAGGTTGAACGAGTCGGCTGGAATGTTTATTAAAATATTTGTATCGTTTCCCACGGGCCTTAGCACGCGATTCTTTCGGGGCTGGGCTGACGATAAACGGGTAGCCGGATCCCACGGGATCGAACCGCGCGACAGAAAGGTACCGCTCGGTTGTTTTACAAGCGACCACTCCGAAGCCAGAAGCTTGTCGTGTATCCTCCTCCGCGAGTCTCCTCCGGGTCCTTGGTCCCGGGATTCCTTTTTCCCTCTCCGAAACTCCTTCCTTCGCCCAATCCAACACACATATCCGAAAGCTGAATCAACCAGCCGACGATTTATGTATACTTCTAGTTCTTCTTCCTTGATCCCATTCCCACTGCGACGTCGACAAACGCGTCGAACGATTTTTTATACATACGCTTACTCGAGCGATTTATAGCTTCATTGATGCAATTAAGAAAATGTTGAAATATGCTCAGTGCATGATTTTTTGTGTTCTTTTTTATGCCAGACCTACCGACAGTCTGTTTATACT